GGCTCATCATCGTAGTAGGCGTCCAGGCGGTCTTCATCGTCCTCCAATGGAGTCGCGAACTCGATCTCAGACTGCCGACCAGTAGGCGAGGCAGGAGATGTCGCGCTCGGTGACGAAGATGGTGTGGTCGGACCGGCTGCTGGTGGAGTTCCTACAGCCACCGACCAGTCTCCAGTGGTCGGAGCAGGTGCCGACATGGTCCGCTACGGTGCCAATGTGGTCCGCTATGATGCCAATGTGGTCCGCTGTGAAGCTTGAGTGGTCGGCTAGGATGCCGATGGGCTATCGACCGCCGTCGATGAGCTGCCGAGCTCCCAAATTTGGTGATGGAGAGCACGGCGGAGCTGGCGAAGTGGTCGACGAAGCTGGTGGAGTGGTCAGCGAGGCTGGTGCAGTGGTCGGCGTGACTCCAGCCCATGAATACTCGATGGTGAAATCGCTTAGAGTTGCCGCCGATCCATCATCAGCCGCCTTGTCCTATGCCCAGTCGCGACCTTCGTCGAACACCACGTCGCACGCCAATTGCACACGCTGCATCACCGGATCGAACACGCGATAGGCCTTAGCCCCTTCAACGTAGCCGACGAAGACCCCCGGAGAGCTGCGATCATCGAGCTTGCCGACACGGCCGAGCTCCTTGACGAATGCCAGGTAGCCGAACACCCGTAGGTAGCCGACCGTCGGCTTGTGCTCGTGCCAGGCCTCATATGACATATTGCTGTCGAGCGCCTTGGTCGGTGAGCGGTTTAGTAGGTGCACGGTAGTCATCACTACCTCACCCCAGTAGATCACCGGCATGCCCCACTGCTTGAGAAGGGCACGGGCGGTGGCGACCACTGATTGGTTGTGATGCTCGATGATGCTATTCTACTATGGAGTGTACAACGCAGAGTAGTGGCACTGAACCCCCTCGTCGGCACAGTACGCTGCGAACTTAGCCACCGTGAACTCGCCGTCGTTGTTCGTGCGCAGCACCCGAAGCCTGTGGCCACACTCCTTCTCCGCAGTTGCCTGATGGCGCTTGATGGCGTCTGTAGCTACCGCCTTGGTATCAAGCAGGACCGCCCACATATACCGGGACATGTGGTCGACAAGGGGGAGGAAGTAGCGTCGTCCTCCAGGTGTGGCTGGAGTCACTGGTCTGCAGAGGTCGGCGTGCACGAGCTCCAGCTTCTGCTTAGCGCGGAAGCTCACCTAGCGGGGGAAGGGGAGCCGCCGCTGCTTGGTGAGGACTCAGGTGTCGCAGAACTGCTCCACATGGTCGATGCGCAGCATGCCCCGCACCATCTCCTTGTTGCCGAGCAGCTTCAGGGCCTCGAAGTTGAGGTGCCCAAAGCGCTCGTGCCACTGCCATGTGTCATCATCATGGTGGGCTGCAGGACATATAGGTTGCGCCACCTGCATATGGGGAACATAAAGGCGATTGGTGCCTCTGTTCACCTTGGCGAGGAGTCAGCGATGGCGATCCAAGATGCGTAGTATCTCGTGCTCGATCTCCAAGCACGAGCCATTCTCATCCAACTGTCCCAAGCTGATGATGGAGTTCCTTAGTGCGGGGATGTAGTAGACACTGGTCTTGGCGGTGAAGATGACGGAGCCGACGCCCTTGATCTCCACGGCGGAGGCATCCCTAAACTTGATGGAGCCTCGCACGTCGGAGTCTAAGTCAGAGAATAACTCATGCCGACCAGTCATATGGTGAGTGGCGCCGGTGTCGAGGAACCAGCCGTTGATCTTGTCATCGTCGGGGCCGGTGCCGAGGAAAGTGTGGGCGCGTGGCTCGTCGAGGTGGAGCAAGGCGAAGCCGGCCGACGAGGGAAGGGGAAAGTTTGAATCTTTCTCCTCCTCCCATGTTTCTTGCCATAGCTCAACGCACCCATGCACCAAGAACAGAGCATGGTCCCAATCCTTTGCTTGCGCGACGTGAGCCTTCCCTCCATGGCGTGGAGGAAGGCGGCAGTCCTTGGCCCAATGGCCGGTCCTACCGCAGTTGAGGCAGGTATCATCCTAGGTCGCCTTGTGCTCGGTGGCGGCGCCACCATCAGCACCGACCTGCGCCCGAGGTCCTTTCTCCTCCTTCTTGCCGCCGCGTGATCGCCGACGACACTCCTTGGGCGGACCAGAGCCGGAAGCCTCGTCCTTCTTCTTCTTGTCGAAGGCCCGCCACTGCTTGATGGTGTAGAGGAGCTTGCCTTCGGCGGTGCTCGGCTCGGTGTGGGGCGCCTCCTCGCGATCTTGCACCGCCTTGATCCTCCTGGTGACCTCCTCGATGGAGAGCGCCTCGAAATCGAGGAGCATCTTGATCACTAGCACGATCTGGGAGTAATTCTTCGTGATGCAGCGTAGGAGCTTCTCCACCGCGCAAGCGTCGGTAATGTCGGTGTCGCCGTTGCGCGCCATCTGCTCCTTTAGGCTAGAAAGGCAAAAGGCAAAATCCTCGACTTACTCACCGGGGTTAAAGGCGAGGCCTTCCCACCCCTGTCGGAGCCGCTGTAGCATCGCTCGACGGATCCGGTGGTTGCCGAGACGCGCGGTGGAGATGGAGTCCCAGCCCTCCTTTGTCGTCGCCTTGTTGGCGAGGGAGGCGCCGATCTCTGGCGCCCATCGATCGTCGTGGAACTCGACATCTCTGAACCCGACCGCGTCCCAGATCTGTCAGGCCTGCATTTTGACCTTCATCAACATACTCCACTCGTGGTAGTTGGTCCTCGTGAGCATCGGCCACGGCGTCCCCGCTTTGGAGTCGCGGTAGACGGTCTGCACCACCGGCGACCGGCCACGGTGTCCACGGCGCCGCTCTGGTGACGGCAACTGAAGACGACGCCCTGCTAGGCTTTGCGGCCCACCGACCGACTCCCGCTCCATCTCGACACGCAGCGCTGCAGCCGCGGCCGCCTACCTGGCCGTCTCGACCATTGCCGCAGGCGCGTCGCGCGATCGTCAACTCCTGCTGCTGCACCGCCGGGGTTCCTCAACGCAATGGTAGCGGCAGCAACGGCGCACGCTCTCTCGATCTGGCTGGCGGTGGACATGGCTGCTCACCGGACTCTCAAGAACTCCGGCTCCGATACCAGTTGTTGGCCAGGAACCACGAGATAGATCTTAGATCTAGATCGGATCTAGGAAAGTCAGAGGGTAGCTTGGCCTTGGCCACTTGTTGGAATTGGAAACGCAAATGGCTTAAGTTTTTACAATAGCACTGCCCCTGCTTTTTATGGGCAAGGAGCAGAGAGCATCTTCTACTTTTCTACTTTATAGGAAAAGTAAGATACAAGTTTCGAGGACTAGGCTTAGCTATCAGATCTCCTTCTGCTAGGGAGGGTGGAGCCGATTGTATAACACTATCCCCCTAGTGTGGCACGTCGTTGTAACTTTCACTATTTCTCGATCTTAATATAAAGATGTCCAAACCTTTTGCGTATTCAAGAAAAAAAAGAAAAAATCATTTCAAGTTTGCAAGATTCTTCCCGGTTCAGAGTTCAGACCATAATGGAAAAAGATACCCATATCTTTGTTCTTTTTGGCTCAGTTAGATATCACTATTCCATTATTCTATTAAAAAATATATCGATATTCTGTTATCTAAAGGAGAAGAGAAAATCCAGAACCGTAGCCTGAAAATGTAGCTGGTCATGTTGATGATTCGAATTTCAGGGTACTCTGCATTCAGCAAAATCTTTTAAGAGACTAACTGTGCTGGCTCAGTTACTTAGATATCAATATTTCATTATCTAAAGGAGAAGAGAAAATCCAGAACATTAGTCAGAACTGTAGCTGGTCATGTCGATGCTCCAAATTTCAGTGTACTCGGCACTCTGGAAAATCTTTTTAGAGACTAACTGTGCTGGCCAAGTGGATAAAGATACTCATATCTTTTTTTTTTGGCCCAGTTACTTAGATATCAATTTTCCATTATCTAAGGGAAAAGAGAAAAATCAAGAACAGTGGCCTGAACTGTAGTGCTAGGGACATGGGCTACTATTAGTAATACATAATGGGTTTCGGACTTGAGCCTGTGTGCCTCTTACTGGTTGGGCTTAGACCGTGTATGAAATAGTATATCTACCTTTGTCTATGGAGATGGAGGGATATGAAGAATATTGTAATCAACAATAAAATATATCATAATCTGTCGTAGCTACTCCTCTCTTGTTCATCTTCTTCCTCCCAATTCCTCTGCTCTGCTGCTAGTTCCTCTTATCTATCCCTGCTACCCTGCTGTTAACATGTAGCTGCTCATATTGATGGTCCAAATTTCAGGGTACTCTGCATTCTGCAAAAGCCTTGGTGCGCAGCAGCATCGCCATTAGTCGCTCGTAGATTTCTGTTTTTCGTTTTGTTCCTGTTTTTCTCCTTCTGATATAATCATGCCAGAGCGCTCTGTCTTTTCGAAAATGAAAAACAAACAAAGATTAACAATACTGCCAAGAGGCATGGGCTTCTTGGTTAGAGCTCTCGCAGGAGTGCCTGACTGAGTGATGCAGCCCTGTTTCATCTCAGATTTTGTAGCACCGCAAATAGGTTTTCAGTTTTTTTGCAGCATCGGGGCTTGTTCCGGCAGGTCGTTAAGCCGGCCGGTTTCGACTAATTCAATAACGTTCTGTAAGAGAATAAGCTGAAATAGACTGACTTCGCTAAAAAGCAGTTCAAGCGAACGGCCGCTCGTTCTCGTCTGACACAGCAAGAAGCAAGCAGTGACGCTGACACATGGGGCCGTAGTCAGACAGACAGAGAGACCCACACACAGAGACACAGGTAATGCAGAAAAATACGTATATATATTAAATCAGGCACGAGGCGGACATAGGATCGACGACGACGGCATCGTCAAACCGCGAGACATTTGAGATGAACCCCGGGAGACGGAGACGAGGCAGGCGACCATGCATGAATAATGGCGGTGCACGCAGTTGACAGGATCTTATTTAGACGCCGCTACATAGTTTAGTACGCTGGGGACTGTCTCCTCCTTCCTCCTCGTGCGTCATTGCCGGGCCGGCTCAGTTGCAGCTGCAGCAGGAGCAGCTGCAGCTGGTGCCGCACTTGCAGGTGTTGCAGTCGCAGCCGCCACCCTCGGTGGCCACCTCGAACCCGCCGGCGCTGGCCTTAGTGGTGGGCGCAGCGAGCACCATGGGCTTGATGCCGACGGTGGCGGTGGTCTCCACGTCAGGGGACATCTTGCAGCTGCATGCATGAGGATGGATCATACATACGCATTCAAACATATATGATCATCATCTACTCGTCATGAATATGTATACGATATGATTGTGATGTGAGGAGGATTAGCAATCTGTTTTTTTACCCGCCGCAACCGCTGCCGCACTGGCAGCCGGAGCCGCACCCGCAGTTGCCGTTGCAGCAAGACATGCTCGGTCGAGTGGATCACCGGCGAAGGGCGCAGGGGCTGCTGTGTTACTGAAGAAGGAGTTGTGCTGCCTTGCTTGTGATGAGGTTATGGCGAGGGCGAGGAGGGGTATAAATAGGCCGGGCGGCGGAGTGGGGGACGGCAGCCGGTGGCCGGAAAGAATGGACGCGGGCGAGCCAGGGACCACCACTGCTTGCTTTGGGAGCAGGAATATGGATAGAGAGACACAGCAGCCTCTCTTTCCCTCTCACTTTCTCTCCGTCTTTTGGAGGGAAAGGGTCCAAACGGTGCAGGAACCGAACAAAAAGGGAATTTTGCTGCCGCAATTTCACTTTAGAGCCTGGTTCCCCTAATTTTCAGAATTTGACACTATGTAAAAAGAAGATTCTCCGTCACATCAAACTTATGGTACATGCATGGAGTACTAAATGTTGACGAAATCAAAAACTAATTGCACAGTTTGGTTGTACTTTACGAGACGAACGTTTTGAGCCTAATTAGTCAACGTTTAGACAATTATTACCAAATACAAACGAAACACTACCGTAGCTACTGTGGCTACAGTACCTCTGACGGCGCCGATTCCGCGCCGAACTAAACGAGGGCTTAGGCCATATTTAGTTCCCTCAAAATCCAGAATTTGGCACTATGCAAAAAGAAGATTCTCCATCACATCAAATTTGCGGTACATGTATGGAGTACTAAATGTTGATGAAATCAAAAACTAATTGCACAGTTTGGTTGTACTTTACGAGACGAACGTTTTGAGACTAATTAGTCAACGATTGGATAATTATTACCAAATAAAAACAAAACGCTACAGTAGCTACAGTGTACCGACTGAATTCGGCGGCGCCGATTCAGTGGCCATCTAAACACGGCCTTACTTTGAGCGAGCGAGCGAGTGAGCTAGGAGTGTCGCTCGCTGTCTGTCTGTCAGCCATCATCATATTCATTATATCGCGGCGAGGATAAGTTTGTCTTTATCATCAGAAACACAGAGATAGATGCAAGGGGATAAATGATGAGGCACAAATTAATATAACTCGAACTCTGAGCGGTTTATGCTAATTGCTAAGCAGCAACCAATCAATCAAATTAAAGACATGCAGCCTGTTCGGGAGGCCGTATCGTATCGTGGATTATTTACTGCTGGCTGGTTTGGTGTGAGAGAAAAACACTGTTCTCGGCTGGAAATTTACGATCGTTTACGAGCAAGCGAACAGGCGCATGCTTATCAGCCGGCTTGAACTCGGTGTTTTTCCTTCATACAAATCAACGTAAGCGGCTTATAGACCGGCTGAGCAGAGCTTTAGTGCTGTTGAGATAAGTTTAGGAGTAGCTGAGCCTGCTGATCAAGTGACAGAGTTCTCTGTGATAAGATCAGGTGTGCAGAGTCCAGGGCCAACAGTTTGGACTTCACAGGCACTAGGCTTAGGTAGTGTTTGGTTACCCCTTCTAAATTTTAGTTGTTGTTCTATCGAATGTTTAGATACATGCATAGAGTATTAAATATAGACTAATTACGAAACTAATTACATAGTTTGTGACTAATTTACGAGACGAATCTTTTAAGCCTAAGTAGTCTATGATTTGACAATGTTGTGCTACAGTAACATGTGCTAATGCCGGTTTAATTAGGTTTAAAAAATTTATCGCGTGAAGTACTGACGGATTATGTAATTTGTTTTTTTATTAATATCCGAATACCCCATACAACATTCTCTCGACACACGTCTAGATTTTAGTCACCGAATCCAAAACAGCCCGTTAGTCAGATAAAAAACTCTGCAGCGGCAGGCCAGGTGTGCGCTCGCTGTTCCTCCTGATGCTCGAGAGAGGAGAGAAGAGAGATTTGCAGCACCTGCTACAGATTAAATTAAATCGCTGCATCAATGCCATCCTCTGCCGTCGCTTTCATCTACAGGATGAACACTTCGTTGTTGCCGAATCGGAATCCCTGCCACATCGGCGACGACGATGGGGTTGCGTAAAAATCCGCGCGACATCAATCAGAGAGATTGCGGACGGGCGCAGTGATCATGGATGTGCATGCGCGCGGATCAGACGACGAGAACGACGGCTCGCGGGAACCCATTCGTGAGAACGAGAAACGTACAGTGAGCGAAGCAGAGCAGGACTGTTGGTGGCGCCAATTATTGCCGCGGGCTGGAATGGATGGAGCATCGCGCGGCTGTCGCTGCAGGACGCGAGCATCGGGTGGGTACTAGCGTGTGTCAACTGTCGTCGTCGATGGAGCAAGTGCCTGATGAGCTTGGGGAATGGGGATGCTTGCGGGAGCATCACGGATGCAGTAGTCACGGGTCAGGTCACGGCTCTGCCGAAACCAAGTTCAGACTGGACAGTGATCGTCATCGTCAGTTCGGCACTACACCGGGACCCACTTCTCCCTACGGTTATGTGTTGGTAAATCATAGTTTTTAACTACACAGTATCTGTTAACAATTGTATAACTTTTTAGTGTCAAATAAAGTGTCGCCAATAGTACTATAAGGCTACACGTTGTATGTTGGCATTTCTCCATTTGACAGAAAAACTATCGGCAAAAGTTTCTAAACAGAAGAAGTGTCGGCATAGCCTAGAGAGGCCACTGTCCAAGTGTCGCTGAAAGAGTGCGCTCAAGCACCAAATAAATGCCCCCAAAATCGACTGGAAGCGCGGAGACGGACGGAAGAAAAAAAAAACCACGAAAATACAACCGTGCACGCGCGGGAGCTAATTACTGAGCTCGCTAAAAACTTGTTGCCTTCCACTGAAACTCTCCCCAATGTTTTCACACGCCACACAGCCGTGAAAAAGAGAAAGAAAAAACACCCGCGGCACAACAGCGCCGCACCGATGCCAGTCCGTCCCCTGCCTCCGTGCGCCGCCACACCACCGCCGGCGTGGCCGCCGGGATCCACCGACGCCTCCGCCGGCGGCGGCAGCGAGCGAGACCCTTGCCGCCGCTTCTGCAGTGGATCTCCCTCGAGGCGTCCTGCAACGATGGCGGTGCATCCAGGTTCGTGTGCATCACATCCCTTATCTCATCCTCTGCATCATCCCCTTCCCCTCATCCCCATCCCTTTCTTGATAGGGTTTGGGCACACACTGTGCCACCGACGACGCCCCCGCCGCCGGCCGGCCGTCCACCACCTCGATCGACGGATCCGCCCGCCGCCACCAACGCTCGGACTCCTCATCGGCCAACTGACACCCACCACCGCCGGATGCCCCCAAGTGGCCACCGCCCCCATGCTTGTCTGTTGGAGATCCACATCTGAGCCCCATGAGCCCCATTACGCCACCCATGCTGCAGTCCCTGCCATTCCAGGTGCTGAGCTCAACCTCTGTCCGTGTGAGATCTTGATGGTGATTTTTGTTGAGATCTTGTTCTCCCTTTGATTCGATTCTTTGGGTATGGGAGCAACATACTTGTTTCCTTAGATCTAGGAGCAGCTAGTACTAGTATTTTGATGAATGCAGTATACATAATACATCTGGATGTTCTAGTTGCGCGGCTCATAGGTGGTTGGGTTTGAAAGGAAGGCAGAGGAGGCCTTGCTCGTGCTACTCTGATCCTTCAGTAAAGCAACCGATAATGTGTAGACGAAACCCACCATTTACCAACAAATACTTGCAGGAGCCTTTCAATTTGTGCATAGTAACAGATAATGAGTAGGCCTTGTTCATGCTACTCTTATCCTTGCGTGTTTTCTGTAATTTAGGAGGAAAGATATTTTGCTATTTAGGAGTAACTATTTTAGGAGTAACTATTTTCATGGTATGTCTATGTTTGTTGGTAACTATTTTAGGAGTAACTATTTTCATACCGTGCATACCATGAAAATAGAGAGTTAGGATGGTTGACAGACCAAACAACACTGTCTTGGTCTTTGAGAGAAACAATTATTAGATATTGATTTAAGGTATTATTCCTTTGTTCATAATTTCATGTTGACAGGCTTTGGACACAAGATTTAGGGCTACCATCTTGGAGGGACTTCCTTGTTAATGACGTTGATGCCACAACGATGGGTTTTCGCCTACTTCGATTGCATGGCTACCATGTCTCCCCATGTAAGTACAACTGATTTTTTACTATGTCAGACTTGTGTCATCAAGCAAGTGTAGGTGGGATCATGGGACATTAGTCTTGCTTTCTTGGCATTGGGGCGGTTCTAGTGAGTGTCGAAGAAGGAATGTGGTATCTACAGTGGCTTAGGCCATCAGTGACAGACCTGTTGTTCATCACATTCAAATCTCTAACAGGTGACAATGACGGACCAGTGTTGCCTAGGTTGGTGTAAAAAAATTGTAAAATATGAATTTTGTGTCACAGGTATAGCAATATATTTGGCAAGAAATTGAGAATATGGATATGTTGATTGGCTGGCATAGTCATTTTTCCTACACGCGGTCAGTCCAGTGCTCTATTTTGCTTCGTCTTTTTGTTCTATAGACTTCCCACTACTTATATCCTTGCATCCCTAGGATATATTAGTATATTACTCGATCATATTGATCATGTAAGTCATTTTCAATCAAAACTACTGAGGACATAGCATAGGAGGGCCATGAACAGTGCTAAGAAAGAGTGATGAATTATATATGATGTATCAATTAAACTCTTACAAACTGTTTGATGGCTGCCAATTTCTTCAATTGCATTTTCTGAAGCAAATTTCCAAAACCTTTTCAATTGGTGAATATTTTTAGAGAATTCTAGGAAGTAATTCGTTTTCTCCTTTTTCGTGGGTTTGGAGACTTTTTAGTATGAAGCTGACAATATGTCATCAACACTTCCAAACAATTGCATGGCGTGTATCACCAACCGTTTGAGATAACTGGAATATGCATATATTACCATTGGTAGGTTACATTGATACCTAAACACTAAGTCCAGAAATGGATGCACTAAGAGAGAAAAGAAATCATTGAAATTCTGAAAAGAAAAGAAAACATCTGACCATTTACTCTGTAGTTTTTAATAATAATTGTC